TAGAAAAGGAGATAAGAAGAATAATTTATTCCATCAAAGCATGGTTCTAAAGTAATTGAATCAGCCTGAGTGCACTTTGACTTAAGGAACAGAGGATATTTTGAAGAAAGAAGACCAAATGATTACGGTAACTTACTTCCACAACTGCAAGTAAATCACACACAGAATACTAGTGTGATAGTAATAGAAAAAATAGTTTGGTTTGTCAACTGAAATTTTAAAGTAATTGAATAGGCCTAAGAGGACTTTTGACAAAAAAAAGAGAACTATATATATATAGTGTTTATGATATGCCTATAATCTCCATAGCATGAAGAATTGGTTGTACATACATTTAACTTGTTCCTAATATATATATATTATTTTGAGAATAATATTAGTGCGAGAACAGTTCATGACCACGTGTTCAACTGACATGTCACTGTTCTTAAAGAAGAGAGCACCAAAATACATAGACGAGATGATCATGCTGGCAGAGCAGTATATGGAAGCCCATGGAGGTAATATAACTGCCAAGTCCAAGAAATTCCAGTTAAATTTGAAACCAGTGATGCAAGACCAGAAGCAGGAGTTTACCAAAGGTTACAGGAGGTTAACAGACTGAAGAGAGAATAGATGTTATGTTTGTTATAAAATGGGACACATTGCAAAGGAGTGCAAGTCCATTACCAGCAAAGAACAGCAGAAACCTCAACATAAAGCAGCTGGAGCTATTTATAAAATCAGTGCTAGTAAGAAACAAGAAAAGAGTGACTGATTCTATGAGTGCTGTTGCCAGAAGAAAGAGAATCAAGACTACTTGTCAAATTCAATACAAGAAAGCATGATCGATCAGTGCACGACTAATGGGTGGCTGAAGTTAGCAAATGGATCAACAGCGCCAATAGTGATGGGAGCTTGTGACAAATATCAAGAGGTGCCAACAAATCATAATATGCCAACATGTAAAGGCTATGTTGATAAAAAAAAAAGTTAAAGGTTCTTCGAGACACTGGGTGCAGTAGTGCAGCAGTGAGAACCAGTCTAGTGTCCGATAATCAGATGACAGGCAAGGTATGCCTGTGTGTACTAACTGATGGGACAGGGAGAAAGTTTTGTATAGCAAAAATAAAGGTAGATATTCCACATTATGTAGGAGACCTTGAAGCCATGTGTATCAAGGAACCAATACACAACTTGGTGACAGGAAACATACCAGGTAGTAGAAATTTGGAGGAACTAGACAAAAAGAAGATTGATGAAGCATCTGTTGTCACCACCAGAGCTCAAGAAAAGAAGAGCAAACAAGACATCAAGCTCCTGCAAGTGTCAAAAGGCGACATACAAAATTTAGGTTTGCAGAAACTGAAAGAAGCACAGAAGAAAGACCCTTCACTTCAGAAACTTTGGGACAATGACTGGGAGAAAGTCGAGCACAAAACAAAAGGGGAAGATACTTATAGAATAAAGGACTGGAATGGAGTTCTATACCGAATCTTTCAAGGCAGTTATACTGGGGAAGTTAAACAGATCATAGTACCAACAGAATACTGGACTCAAGTGATGAAGTTGGCTCATAAATCAATTGTGGGAGGACACCTAGGAACAAAGAGAATGGCAGACAGAATCACCAGTAACTTCCATTGGCCGAGAGTCATCAGAGGAGATTCTGCAGGTCATGTGACATCTGCTAAAGGACAATACCTAGAGGGAAAGTAGCCAAAGCGATATTGGGCGAGATGCCTCTCATAGAAGAGCCATTCAGCAGAATAGCTGTGGTCTTGATCGGGCCACTAGTGATTGTGTCTGACACAGGCAACCAGTATGTGCTGACAGTAGTCGACTATGCAACATGTTATCCGGAAGCAAGAGCACTGGCAAAGATAGAGACAAAGAGAGTAGCAGAAGCCCTTCAGGAGATGTTTTGCAGAGTAGGCTTTCCGAGGGAAATCCTGAGTGACAGAGCAACCCAGTTTACTTCAGAACTGATGCAGGAAGTGTGCAGACTCATCAGTACTTGGGAACTCTCTACCACCCCATACAATCCTAAATGTAATGGACTTTGTGAGAGAGTCAATGGAATTTTAAAAAGCATGCTAAAGAAGATGTGCCAAGAGAGACCACATGACTGGGACAGGTACTTGCAAGCAGTATTATTTGCTTATCGAGAAGTCCCACAAGCAAGTACAGGACATTCACCTTTCGAGTTACTGTATGGAAGAACAGTAAGAGTTTCGATGCAAATATTGAAAGAGCTATGGATGGATATAAAACACTGTTTAGTTTAGATATTATTGATTAATTTATTTTTGTGAGTGAATATTTCATTATTGTTTAGTTTTTGTTATAATAAGAGTTAAAAGCAGACGATTGTAGGAAGTTGTGTTTATAAGTCATTGATGTTGAGACTATCGAACGCTGCATGCAATACATTGACGTCGAGAATATACAGATTTTTAGAAGGTGGACAGATGATAAAGTGATAAACATATAAATAGTGTGAGATGATCAGAAAGAGCAGAAGAGAGTAGAGTTACAACAAGGAAAAGTTTGGCATGAAGTTAACTACTGTAGAAGTGATAGGCCTCAAGATTAACATAGGCCTAACGTTTAATATGTTAGAGTAAGAATAACAGTAGAAAAGGAGATATGAAGAATAATTATTCCATCAAAGCATGGTTCTAAAGTAATTGAATCAGCCTGAGTGCACTTTGACTAGAGGAACAGAGGATATTTTGAAGAAAGAAGACCAAATGATTACGATAACTTACCCCACAATTGTAAGTAAATCACACACAGAATACTAATGCAATAGTAACAGAGAAGATAGTTTGGCTTGTCAACTGAAATTCTAAAGGAACTGAAAAGGCTTAAGTGGACTTTTGACAGGAAGAAGAGAACTATATATACAATGTCTATGATATGGCTATAATCTCTATAGCGTGAAGAATTGGTTGTACATACATTTTAATTGTTCCGAATATATATATTATTTTGAAAACAAGCGAAATGCGTGCTGTTCATTTATCATTGAAACCTACTGTAGAAGAAACCTAAGTCCAACAACAACACAGTACAGATTTTTACTATTAAGAAGTACAAGTAAAAGCCTTTTTATTTTGACAATTGGCAAAAAGAAGTATATTTATAAATTCTGACATCCTAAAAGAAAGGATGTGACAGGTGGGTGTGGCAGGAGGGGTCTGATTTTCAATTTGATAGCCCTGTAACCAAACAAAATATTATGGTTTGTCTGAGCAATGATGATATTATAGTGAGTAATTTATGTTTAATTTCATACTTTTTGGAGGGGTGGTGGATAAAATAGAGAAAAGAAGATGCTTAGAGAAAATGTGTCATGTATGTCACACTAGGAGAAATTCAGTATTTTTTAAATATTGTCTTGTATAATTAAGAACTTAAAACATATATACTATTAAAATATGGATTATTAGCTAAGATTTTATACTAATTGATATAACAAACAAAAAGTAGTTTTATAAAATTTTAAATGTAAGATACTAAAACCTTGCATCATGCACAGTAAAGGATGCCCATGGTGATAGGGTTAAACATGTAACTGTATTATTAGACATATATGTGACCATTTGCACTAACTAAAAGTAACAATGAAGAGAAACTGGCAGAAAAGATCACTGAGCAATGAGTATCCTTTCTATCCACACTCAGTACATGACATGAATTTTTTTGTATCTTCAAAACAGAACCTTCACAATTTTAAACAATTCTTTAGGAGCAAGAAGAAAAAAAACAAATGTCAATTTAAAAAGATGCACAAAAATTTAGTTGTAATGGAGATTTTTTCAGGGTGGCTAAGCTGGATCACAAATAAATCGGGAAATTATCTTGGATACAAAATGTAAACCTACTTGAATGATGCCAATTGTTTCTGTTATAACTGTTCTAGCTGGAGCAGAAGCATGTGATGAGCCTCTTTTACGGCCTCTGCCTCGAGTGAACTTCCCTCCTTTCTTTCCACTCCCACTGGGTGTAAGTGGAGGATTAAGTGCATCTGTCATACTAGGAGTAGGAGAAGAAGGTGAAGGGGAATGATCTCTTAAAAAGGTCGTAGGCTCTGGTGGAAGAGGAGTAGGGATACGAGGAGGTGTAGGAGGAGGAGGAGGAGGAGAAGCAACTACGACAGGTGGTGGTTGTGGTGGTGGTGGTGGTGTTGGTATTTTTGGTGGTACTGCTGGTAATTCCACTGGTGAATTTGGCCTGGGACTGGGAGTCCTCGAACTTGTAGATTTTCCTGATGCTTTTATAACACTGAAAATAAGTATTTCAATTTACTTCAGAGTTTTCACTGAACAACCCATTTCACTGAATTACATGCCTTACTTTAAGACATTCACAATAACAACATGGAAAGATCAATGTTATATTCATTGCTATATTCTTTATTATGGCAGTTTCTCTGTACTAAGTAAAATATTAACGCCAAAAGTAATTTTTGAGCCACATTACATTATCATTAATCAGGACCATATTTAGGTTTTGTGGGCAAGATTAGACAGCAAGGATAGGTCTGGGGGAAAGCAGGGTCCAGAACAGTTCTACGAAAAGCAGACCACTTTGTATGAATTTTCTTTCTAAAATACACAATTTTGAATAGTATGAATATTGTATTGCATCCTGGTATTGTCTACATAGCATTCTGATATAAAACAGAGCACGTTATAATTATCTTTCTCTTTTCTTTAGTTTCATTTTTTGTTCTCCTTGCCGCATCAAAACTATAAATTTGTAACCAAATTGTCCATCCATGCCTACAGATGTAGGATCCTTTGAAAGTACAAGGCCCAAGGCACCTGCCTAGTTCACCTAATGGAAAATACAGCACTGAAAATCGATCTGCATTTTAAAATAAACAATGATGAACATTACAAGTGTAAGTCATTCTAACAACTTCTAAGTGCCTATCAAGTGTGACAATCCTATCCAGCTTTTATTCTCTTTACTAACATATTTTGTTTAACGATCAGAAAAACAGCACTAGAGATAATTATCAAGATTTTGTACATTAAAAATTCCCGAACATAAATATATCAATGCAATAAAAACAAGTTGCAAGTCATCAACTAGGTGAAGAAAAATAATTGTATCTAAGGACAGGTTCTTTGATGCTACAAATTCTTTACTGTAATTTAAAAGCTCTGTAACTTAATAAAAGTTTTGCAAGGTATCCAATTTGGAGACACATTTCTATCAGTGACTTCAACTACATTCTCTCAGTTGATTCATTATGATAAATGTGCCTGATGGTGTGAAATACAAACGTCTGTACAACATTAAAGGTCTGGGGCCTGACTGGTGTGGGGGACAGGTTGCTTTATTGGACAAAAGACAGCATAAAGTTGTTATAAATGGAGTTCAGCGAAACTGAATTACTGTCAAAAGTGAGGCATCTCAGGGCTCAGTGTTAGGTCTTCTGCTCTTTCAGATTCACATCAGTAACATAGATGAAGGAAAGATCACTAAATTATTCACATCTGCTGATGATATTAATTGTGTGCACAAGTTGGAGGTCAAAGTGTACATGCAATGGCCATGTACAGAGTTTTATTCAACATGGTATAATGCATTTGATATTAGAGTTATCAAATTTTCATTTGACCTCACATTGTTGATTTCACAAAAGTTTAATCTAAAGTAGAGAAAATACCAGATACAATACACATGGATATGGAAAAACTTTAGATATGCAATTAGGAGAATGTAGAGGTCATGCAAATACAATTTGCAAACTGTACGACAGAAAAAAGGTATTTTTATTCTTCACATGAATATCACCTTCAACTTGTCAAGAGTCTGAGTCAGACTGACTTTGTCAATTTACAGATGTATCTTTAGTACAAATACTTTATCAATACAAGATGTTTTGTGTAGATTTGTACTGATTACTAGCCACTGGCCACCTATCATGAAGATACATTTGGTAAATTCAGATTTACAGGAAGCATTAATTTTTCAATGGTGAATTGGTATAATGGTCTAACCTCTTGCACATTCATTCATGATCTTGAGTTGTACAGCTTGTTAGGATACTGCTCTTCTTCTACAAAAAAGATCTGGATATATATTTGGTGAGATGGCAAATAAATGTCAGATGGCTTTTAATTACAATAAATTTTTGTTGGAATAAGATTAACAGTGATATGGATGATGTGGCTTGTGGTGTTCTGGATGATCATCAGTCTCTTAAGCCATCCAAGCAGTGTGCTGTTGGTAGTGGCAGGAAAAATATTATTTTTTGGTTATATCTACAAATATATTGACAACAAGTCTAACTAGGTTATAATTTCAATGTACACATCACTGGTTAGGCCAAATTTGGGGTATTGTGTTCAGTCTTGGGAAAGACATTGAATTGTTGGAAAAGTTCAGAGGAGGACTAATAGGATGATACATAGGATGGAAAGGTTTCTATACAAGGACAGGTTTACATGTCTGAAATTATTTTTTCTTGAAAAAAAGAAACATCATTTTTCCTCATACTTAATGGTGTGAATGGTAAGATTAGGGACACAATATATGTTTTGGAAGGGTAAGAGCCATCTTTAGCTACGACAGCTATATTTTTCTAACAGGGTGACTGGTCTTTGTAATGGGTTGCCTTCAGATGTAGAAGATGCAATAAATTCAAGATGGTTTAAGGGAAGGCTTAATAAATATTGAATGATAAGGTGTGGCTTTAAGTCTTTTATATATATATATGTATAATTTTTTTTTCTTTTTTATTTTAAAGTTTAGTTTAGTGAATCAGATGAACCAACAGGTCTCTTGTTGTCCTTAAAATTTATGTTATGTTACTTGCACAATAGCAGCATGACTTCATTACAAGAATAAGAACTCAACAGGGGTTTGGCTGTAGGTGGTGTGTGAGTCTTTTGTTTGGATAGGCTTTTTTGTCATGTGGGTGTTATGCAGTTGGGAAGAATCAGTTTGTGCTCATAAACAAATACACCCTCTTCAGTGACACACAAACACCCGCTTTCTCTCTCTGCATATACTGTGTAATATTCTTGAGTTGATCAGAATAATGTCCTGTGAGGGACAGTTTAGTTGGAGTAGCTAAGCCTTCTCAAGCCTCATATATATATGTTGCCCTTGGGTCTGGTGATTTACAAAATTATGCATTTACTTAGCAAATGCCTGCTGTGGTTACAAGCAATAATGTTTAAATAACTTAAATGAGAAATTCCTTCTTTCAGATTGTAATATTTGTTCTATGATTAGCAAATCTGATGAAAGACAAAACTAAACCTTATAACTATTTCAACAGGATATCAGGTTAACTTTTATGATGATAGAAACAAAGAGTAAAAATATTCTAATACGCAATAAAGAAAAGCATATAATGGAATCTTATTAGTTAACCTGATATTATCATAGGTTTAATTATTTACAGCAGATCATTTTGTACTATGACTATGATAGTGGTTTAGTTTATGATCACATGCATTATAAAATAATTCAAATTATACACCAACAGTTTTAAATTGGTTAGAAACTGCCATCTTAAAACAAAAATTATCCTAAAGAATAATTTGCAATTTTTAACTAAAAACAAATTATCTTACAGGAGGAAAAAATAAGTAGAGAAATCTATATTACACATTCACCTGCCTACCATGCAAAGGTGTTACAGGGAGAAGAGGATGCTGGGATGGGTAAGGAAGGATGAAAGGGTGAGAAAGGAGTTGGCATCTGGAATAATCGGTCATTGTTTTGATAGGAATATTCACAGCTGATGAACTTTCCTTGGAAACCAAAGACAATGTTTCTTTTAAATCAAATAAGGTGGATAATTCAAACAAAAGCTTGCTTAATACAACAATACACTTCATAGATACCATGGACAACTATATATATTGGAAATGTCACTGTAACTTCTCTCTTGTTCATTATATAACAAGACACAAGTTATTTATGGTCTCCTCCCAGTGCTTTAGCACTACTGTTTGTTCTGTTGCTGAATGGAAGCTAGTTCAATATTTTATTTAAGTCTATTAACTTTTTTGCCACATAATTTGATTTCATAATCGTGATCTTCTTAAGCAAAGGTTTCCTAGTGAAAGGTTTAATTTTTACAAGTACTAGTTATATGACTATCAACAAACCCATCACAGGAAATAGTTCACTAACATCATTTGAGTTAATGTGGGACAATTTCATGAAGACATGTCCAAAGCATGATTTGAGTTAGCCATCAGCTTCTTTTGATGTTGTTGTTATATTACTTTCATAAATATTGAGGGTATAACAGCTGACATATTAAGATGCAAAAGCTTTCCTTGTAGAGTTTATTATTGTCATTTTAAGACAAGTGAAAATTTCAAAGTAATTTCTTTGCTTTCATGCTGTGTTAAAGTGGTTTCAAATGGAAGTTACAATATAACAGAATTAATATTTTTATAAAATTGATTATAAAAAGCTTCAAAGTTATTCAAACAATTGGTTTCAGAAAACAAAATGAAAGCGACATTTTACATAGATAAACAAAAAAAAATGTAACGGATATCACTTACTAAACTGCACTGAAGAACAAGTAACAGTAATTTGGTAGAATGATAGATAAAAGTAGTAAAAAAGTCTAACTCCTTAAAGATCTACAAGGGAAATAAGAATTAGGTGGATTCTATCAACTAATCATTTCATTTTATATAATGTATGGCAGTATTTCTTTGGAAGACTAATATACATATTGCGGTACTTGTATCTAATCTCAGCATACAGCAGCCAAAAATGGCCGACCTCCTTTTTGTTTGACTTTTAAAGTTCACATTAAACTATTTCAGCTCACTTTGAATGTGGCAATAGTCATTTCTTATTCTGAAACAGTAATATATAAAATAATTATTATTTTATGTTTTGTAAACAAAGTGCAGGTGAAAATAATTTTTGTTTTTTTAAACTTGTTACTATTCTCTTTTGAGAGAACTAGAGATG